TTTCAGCAACTCAGTAAAAATTTGCTTAACTCGAGCGGGCACTTTGCAGAGCAGGAAGTTTACTGTGCAGCCTCAGTGGAAAGTTACTGTGCATGCCTTGTGCCCTCACAGATAGGATGCACTGGGTTAGAACCACAGCTGCCATGGTTATTTGTGTTATATTGATATTCCTTTAAGCTCTCTGACATTGGTAATTCAGTATAAAAATGAGCATCTACTTTCCTCTTATGCTGAGGGTGTTTAACCATTGGGACTCTTTTAAGATAAATGAGATAAAATCCATGGCAGTGTTGACTTCTCCTGATTTTCTCTCCAGCAAAGAATGGACTTTTCATCTGCATCTGGTTCTAGAGAAAGCTATAAACAGATCTTTGTACTGCCCAAATAACAAAGCTTTAAACACTCAACAAAAGGCAGGGAAACCAAACTCCTTATCAGACACCAAATCATCTGAAGGAAGAAAAAAAGTCCCAAACTCTTGACAGCTGGGCAGAAACGTGTACAAAGAGAAGCTAGAGAAGCTAAAGTTGCAAAGCTTTCCCCGTGACCGCCTATAGCACAAGAGGAATCCTGGCCCTACTTGTGCACAGGAAGGAAAGGGAGCTGGCACATTCCCACCTGCATTCAGGGTACCCAAAACCTGGCTGGGTCCTGCCTTTCCATCACCCTTCTCCCCTCTCATCCAGCAAAATGTCTTCCAGAAAGTGACATCAAGATAAAGATGCTGGAAAGGGTTTGCTAGAATGAGGAGGTGGAGGAAGAAGAAAGGTTATTTCCTGTTTGCTGCTATCAGATTTGGGTTTACTCCCCTTCTTGGGCTTATCAAAATTAGCACAGCACATTCCCCGCAAGTGTCTCGGAGAAAGACAGAGAGGAGGGAGGAGTCCCTGCATCACCCGAGGGGCTCAGCGGGGCTGTGATCTACCACCAGCAGAGGAGTGCAGCTGTCTGGGGAGCACCACCCATGACAAATGCCAGGCAGAGCAGGCGTGAGGAGAGAGCAACAGCAGCTGCAGCTTTCTGCAGGAAAACATTCTGTACTGCCTGAAGAGCTTGCAGGATGATGGAGGACAGACCTTGCCTGAGACCCCTGCAGCCTCCCCACCTATTTAAGGGAAGAAAAAGCATCTCTGTCTGCCATTACTCACCAGCACTTCTGTACCCTCAGCCATTAAGCCCATTCCCTTTCTTTCTTCCCTTTGGATCCTGCACAGCAGTCACTGAGTGTGGCATCACCCCTTCCTCTCCCTGTCCTGGCACAGTTCATCCTAGCACAGCAGAGGCTGTCCCACCCTGCAGGGCTCCTGCTCCTGGCTCCGTGTGCCCCCTCGGGAAAGCCTCCACCAACTTCTCCAGTTGTCTCCAGGTGAATTGAGCTGACATTCCCACACGTTCCTGAACGTGTCACACATCCCTGAACCCCACTCCTGCTGTCCCAAATTCCCCAGCCATAAGTCTGCCTGTTGTTTTAGCAGAAAAATCTGATGCCTATTGCTCAGAAAGCTTTCACAGGAGTGCAACACAAACTCTCAGTGCTCTTTGTTCAAGTCATGCTGTCAATGACACTACTGCAATTCTCTTCACGTACACAAAAACATCATCACAAGTTATTGTCCTTTCTTTTTTTTTGTTTGTTTGAAGATACCTTGTTACATGACTTTTCACTATCAAAAAAAAAAAAAGCTTTGAAAACTGCTTCGCTCCCTTAGTTTAGGGAAAATATGTTTTACCCTGAAAGAGGAAGTTGTATAAACCAAAGATGAGACAGCAGTGCTGGCTGGAGGATAGGCACCCAGCTGTATTTCTTTATTCCATTTGCATATGATATGGGAGTAGACAATCATTCTCTCCAATGCACTGCATTTGCAATTCCAAAAGATTTGCTGAAAACTGCCTCCAAGTAGTTCTTGGCCTGTAATACATCTAGTTTCTGTAGTGTTAGATAATACTAAAGCTATCAGTAGCCATCATCAGTTTTAAAAATTCTGCATAGAATTTCCAGTAGTAACTATATTTATATTAGCTATAAAACACACACTTGAGACTATAGCCCCATTCAGTATTTTATCATGGATATTGGCTAAGTGTGACACGGAATATGTTAACCAGAAAAATAGATTAATTTAAAAATAAGCTGACATTGGCCACCCATATTTTCTACCTCTGCAGATGGGAACTTTCCTTATGTTAGTGTTTGGCACAGTGAGCACACTACAGCTGTACACGAACTTGCAAGTGTAATGAATGATTTTACAAAGTCAGGTTCCTGCTGACCTCGTGGCTGGTGGGAGAGTGGGGCAACCTCTGCTGCCTGGGGCTGAAATCCTATCTCAGGCAGGAAATACCTTCATGAAGGTGACAATGATGCCTCAACCTGCATTATATATATATATAATTAACACCTGCCAGCAAGGACATGCAGTGGTGGGACACGGGGCAAAGGCTTCAAACTTTTATTTTATATTGGGTATCAGGGAGAAATTCCTTTCTATGAGGGTGCTGAGGCACAGGGAACTGTAGCTTCCTCATCCCTGGAAAAGTTCAAGGCCAGGCTGGACAGGGATCTGAGCAATCTGCCCTAGTGGAAGGTGTCCCTGCCCACAGCAGGGATGTTGGAATTAAATTAAATTTTAAGGTCCCTTTGAACCCAAACCTTTCTATGATTCTGTGATTTGCTTGCTGGAAGCATATAAATATCTAGAAGGGTTTAGGGCCTTCTAGGTTCTCAGTAAAGGCACCCCTGCTGTCTCCAGCCACATCCTCTGCCTGAGATGAGTCATGTAATCTCACAGAAAGAAAATGCAACATTTACTCTGAGCAAAACCTTTGCAGGACACAGTGGTTGTCAGAGGTCCCAGGCACTGGGCAGCCTGGCAGAAGGCACAAACAGTATCTAAAATACTAATCCAAGCTTCTGCAATGACACACCACAGAATTCTGCTTCCACCTCACACAGAAATGGGTGATGCTGCTGTTTTTATCCCCTCTGTTACCAGTTCTGTGTGCTTACCTGTGGAAATCTGTGGGGCATCTCACTCCTGCCTGCCTGGTGGTAATAATACCAGTTTGGATTTTACAGCACCACCAGAATCTGCTGTTTCATTTTAAGAAATGGCTTTAAAGATGTTTATCTGTGGCACTGCCTGCTACAGGTTCATTGAACATGAACCTCCTGTTTCCTTGTTTTGAAATGAGCTGTAATAATTCATAAAAAGTAACATGAACCTACCATGCACATGCCTGAAATCTAGAGGGGGTTTTTTCAACTACACAGAGATTTCTATCAGAAGTTCACACAACCACTGACCACTATCAGTTTTGTCTATTTGCTCTCAGACTCCCCAACTTCTACTCTTGTGGTTTCTGTAGAGCTGAGGGTGACAGAGGGGACTGGTCCTGCAGCTCCCCATAAACTGCTGGCTCTGGCCCTGGTGTCTCTGCTCCCATGCTGGGCTCTGAGGCAGTCCCCCAGGGACATCAGGCACAACCACACGGACATCAGGCACAGCAGCCTGTGGCAGAGGTTGAGAAACAAAGCAATGTTTCACTGCTGGGATGTGGGAGCTTTTCTGACATGATAATTTTTTGGGAATGAGCTCATCCTGAATGCTGAAAGAAACCTAAAGGGATCCTTCAATTTTCTCTGCTCACCATTCTACAACACACTTCTTGCTTGCTTTTGTTTTCACTTTGATCTTAAGCAAGTTCATTCTCTGCTCTCCTTTTATAGTCATAAACTAAATTAATTACATGATGAAAAGATTACATATTGCATTTCATGTCAGCTGCTGCTGAGCACATGCCACAAGCAAACTCCTCTCTTCCCACCAGGAAAGATTGACACGGATACAAATCCAAACCTCTACTCTGTACAGTGCTCTGTACAAACCACTGGTGGGAGGATATCACATCCCAAAACATCCACATTTCCCACAGAGCAGAGCTCCCCTCGTCCTGCCAGCCCTTGGTTAGCAGAGAGGTGGAATCTGCACTACTCCCAGCCTTGCCCAGTGGCCAGAGAGGAGGATGTGGTGCTCAGTTCCCACCACCAGGTCAGTTCCCTGCCACCTGGAGGCATCCTGACACCAAGGACTCTCTCAGCAACCCAGGGAAGGCAGGGCTGGCATGGCACAGCCTCACCAAAGGCACCAGAAGCCCCAAAAAATGCAGCACAGGCACCTCCATTTCTGGTCAAATTCCTGATAGCAGTACATCCCACATCCATACCCTGTTCTCTTGTCAGATCCAGGATGGAAAGTGTCCCTGCTCTTTCCTGGGAGATGAAGCACCATAGGCAGACTGGGAAACACCTGGAAATTCAGGAAGATGGCTCCTGGGAGTGCTGGGTACATAGACTGCAGGGGAGGACCCCCCATGCCCAGTCACACCAGTGTTCCAGGGCTAAACCTGTTATGGCAAACTCGAGGGATTTGATAGGATCATATCAGGACATTCCCTTTACCCACAATCTGGGCCCCCTTGTCCAAGGGTGAGAACGAGCCACCTCCACCTTGCAAAAGGTGCAGTGCAGTCCAGCATCCTCTCTCACAGCCAAGGTGGCTTAGGTGCCACAAAAAAAAAAATACAGATGGATAAAGATGGGTAAAACCAGACCATCCCCCTGCATCCCTGCCCTGCAGCTCACAGCTCAGGCACCAGAGCAGGCTTGGTGAGCTGCTGGGGATCACAGATGTTCTTACACATGAACACACACATTCCAGCAGGGACAAGCTTGTGCCACTGTCCTACAGCCTCTCCTGGGATGACAATGTCCCCATGATCTCTGTGCTCTTGACCACTCAAGTCAGCAATAACTTGTTATCACCTCTCCTTTATTTGGCTGTATATAAATTCGAAAATAAGCCTGTACTTCCTGTAAAAAACAGAAAGAAACAATTATTTAATAACAAAACTTAAACAGTTCTGAAACAAGGTAGAAAACAGATCTTTTTTTATTTGGAACAAAATGAATCACTGGGGGAAAGGAAAAAGAAAAAAAAAAGAAAAACACACCAGAAAGAGAACAATAGCTGGGCATGAACACATACAGTTAAAGAAAGAGCAGAGGCTGCATCACTTCTCTCCTGACCTCACAGTAACAGAACCTTTTGCCCCGTGCTGAATGGCACTTTCAGTGGAAAAGGACAGAAAACCAGCCATGGTTCAGTCTGTCTCACAAACACCTCTTGCATTTCTATGGGAAAAATCCTTCCAGGACTGGGATCATAATAATGGTGATGTTTCCAGCTGCTGGGCACCCCCAGGGCTGCCAGCAGGAAGGCAGCCCTAGGATGAGCTGGAGCTGGGATGCCCCAGCCCAGCAGGACAAGGCTGGCCCAGCTCTCTCACCCAGCACTGTTGCCTTCTCCAGTGCAGCTCAGAGCACTGATCAGCCTCTCAAGCATGTGCTGGACTCGACTGTCCCCTCCTGCCCCTGCCAGAAAGTGCAGCAGTGAAGCAATGCTGACTGTGTCCTCCTGTTTTGGTGACACTGGCCCGGTGACAGTCACCCAGCATTGCTGCTTCTGCCCTGCCACCCCAAGCACTCAATTTATTTTTTTTTTCATTCAACTCACAGCCTTTGAGGAATGTTTATACTGAAAAGAGAACAGCACCGTAAGGAAAAGAATTATCACCTCCCTCTTACCGTGGAAAACCTGATTCCTATGGCAGCCTTTGAAAGCAGAGACAGGCTGAATCACCACCAGCACAGCACACACGACCCAAACATCTCCTAAAGAGAGTCACAGGACAAGGAAACAACAGGAACAATCACCTATGGCTGGGTGTCACTGCTGCAGAGCCTTGGCAAGCACACAGAGATGAAGGGCTCCCAGGTAAGCATGCAGCCATCCCGCAGCTCCCTCCCCTGGGAGAGAAGCCCTCAGTTCAGTTTGGATGCTGCTGGGCTGCTCACAGCCCTCGTTGGACGGCTTTCACCAGGCATACCTTCAATCCATTCCCAAGTACAATATAAACCAGGGACAAAATGACAAGGGAAGAAAGAACACACCTCCCCATCCCTTTTGGTCCTGTACCATCTCTGCTTTTACTACCATGCCTTTCTAGCCCAGCAGCCTAATTTAACACTAACAACCAATCTACCACCTCACTCGGACTACTAAAATTGTCTCGTACAGTAAATTCCTTGCTCTGGCAGCACATACTGCAGCATTCCCTGCAGCTCCTGGCAGCTTTGCTGGGACTCAGCTGCCTGCTGCCTGAGACAGAATCCCTGCCCTCTCCTCACCACGTCCTTCTTCCCTGCAGGTCTAGCGCAGCTGCTCCACAGGCACAGCTCCCCTGAGCAGAACAGGACATGCGTAACAGCAAGGCTTACCTAAGAGATTCTATAAATTGCTGCTGTCTGTGCAAATAACACAGCCTCGAATAAGCCTACATGCACAGGCAGATGGCCAGCTTCATCAGCTTGCAGTAGCTAAACTATTACACTAAAGGCACTAATGCTTGCATTGATAAACAATCTCAGCCTTAAAATCGAGGTTTGTGCCAAAAATTGCAGCCCCAAGCCCCAGGCCCCCTCCTGCTGCAAGGCAAGCAAGCGAGTGACAGTGCTTGGGGGCAGCCCAAGCAGTCAGGTTCTGGTGAAAGGTAACCTGTACCCTCTGCCATTTGGGTAACCAAGAGGTGAGCAAAGCCAGCACCACCCCGGGTCTGCACACAGCATCTGCAAGCCAAATTTCAAGCCCCAACTGCTCCTGCTCCAGGCAGCAAGAGGGGACAGCCAAATCTGGAGCTCAGAGGAGCAGCTCAGATGAGCACCCAGGAGAGCAGATACCAAGCTGAGACCCCCTTTGAGTTTCCTTGGCAGGGCCTGGGAAAAAAACTGCCATGAAGTCTCCCGAGAAGAAGCTTTCTCAGGAAATTTCTGGCAAGTCCTTGGCTTCTGCCTGGGACTGGCAGGCCACCTCAACCTGCCTGCAGTGCCTGCCCCTGGCTGGCAAAGACAGGGCAAGGGATGGGGTGGGCAGGGAGCAGGAGGAGCCCTCTCAGCCCAGGCTGTCCCCTGGGCTCCTCAGTTTAGCTACAGCTCTGTTATCAGGCAAAGCATCAGAGAGCTGCCCCTTTTGCTTGGTGGTGAACCTGTCAGGCCACGGCAGTGTGTGCTTTTCTCTGTATTTTCTTATTAAATGAGGTCAGAAGGTCTGACACCTCACTTCTTTCCCCTGCTAAAATTTTCCAGACACAGTGAGACTATGGGATGCAAAGGACAAGTGTCACAGGCTTCAGGGTGGAAGAGCAAGCGTGTCACATCAGTCATCGGTGGGATCCGGGAAACAGTCTGAGGCATCTTCCTGGCTTTCCATGTCGACTAGGACCTCAGCATCTGCCATCTCCTCAGCTTCTACCTGCACTGGTAAGTTCTCTTCTGCCAGCTCAACACCTTGACCAATCTGGGCAGCATCTGGAAAAGGGAGAAATGGTTTATAAGTGCTCACACTGTGGCTCACCCTCGTGGAAATTCACCCCCTGGTCCTTAATGCTGCAGCTGCCTAATCCACTCAGTCCCCCAGCCCCAGGCATCTGCAAGCCAAATTTCATTTTTCTCTGTAACTACTCATTTACTGAGCTATGCATCATGACTTAGGGCACTTTGGTATTGAAGCTGTCTGGCTTCCCAGTACCAAAGTGCTTTAGTACTGTTAGTACCAAAATACTAAAGCCAAATCTATTCACTTACATCTGAATCATTAAAGCTGGCTAACAGCACACATTTAGTTCTTGCCTACTTTCCATATGCATCTCTGCTTTTTTACTAAATTGTAAAAAATTTAAATATGAACTATTTTTTGTTAAACTTATAATATTTGAATTTTTTATTAGAAGCTCTACACTTGAAGTATATTAATATTAAAAAATTACCTGAAAGAGTTTTTTTTTCTCTTTCTTGCTGCATGTTCATGAGCAGCACATAATATTTTGAAAGCAAAGCAAATAGCATCCAAAGTTAGATATAAAGCACAGCAGAGCTACAGGAGGCTGTGCACAGTACAGTGAAGGACACCAGAAATGGAGACAGCAGTGCTGAGACCAGGCTATGACCTATGTAGAGCTGCTCCAGTTCATGATGTCTCTGCTAAACCTACTTCAGCTGATGATGGTGCATTACTAGGCAAGGTGTTGCCAGCATTTGTGTTTGGGAAGCAAAACTGAGTGACACATAATGCAAAAAGTGGAGTACTAATATCAAGCCCTTACAGAACAGGACATTTCTGGAGGGTTTTTATCACCACACTCTCTTGTGCTAAGGCTGTGGGAGTTTATGCTCAATTTCTTTGAAAAATTTAAAATGTGACCATATTCCCACTCTAGCCTCAATTTAAGAAAACGCACAAGCCTCTGGCTTTGATGGGATTTAGCTGTGTTTACAGCTCAGCATATTGGCTCCTGCTGTCCTGAAGATGACTGCTTAAAAAAACAACACCAATTTTCATAAAATGTTACTGATGAGAAGGAGAGAAGGGTGAGAAAATAGCAAGAAAACTGCTGAGGTTTGGGGGTTTGCTGTTTCTGAGGTATGTTTTTGCACAGGAGGTTCTGGAACAGACAGCCTGCTGTGGGATGGCTGCATGAGTAAGGTACTGAAAAATGCCCTGCTGCAACTCCTGGAGAAGGTGCAGCACCTTCCCTGTGCTGGCAGGTCCCAGGCCCCTCTCTGCTGTCACCTCCACCCCCAGCAGCCACACACAAGCACTGTGTCCCTCCTGAACAAGGTGTCTGTGACCTCAGACAGGTCTGTGGACTCACCAGGCTTGGCGGGAGGGTCGGTCTGGGCAGCCTGAGCCTCGACACGGTCTCCACTGGGGGGGCTCTTCGTGCCCTCCCCGGACACCACGGACATGGTTAACCCGTCATCCTTCTCCTCCTCTGTGAAACCAAACCCAGAGAAGTGAAGGAAGAGGCCCCCAGAGCAGGGGGGCCCTGGCAGGGCTGCTGTGAGGCCAGACCCCCACCACGTGTTTGTGGCCCCTCCTCAGGGGGTGCTGGCTCTGCTCCCGGAGCAGAGAGATGCCAAGAGCAGAGGGTCACTGCCAGCCTGCCAGAGACCAGCCTGGCCATGCTGGCAGGATCACAGCTTGAGGTGGCACGGGCAGATTGCTCCCAGGGACTGGTGCTGACACAGCACTGCCATCAGAAACCATTTTGGGATCACACCTGAATGAGGTTCCATTTTATTTCCATTTTATTTACCATAGGAGAGGTTTTGCCGTGAGTTTTTCTTCTGGCCAGGAGCACAGGGTGAGGGCGCAAGTGTGAGGTGAATAAAGGAAAAGTGAGGTTTAATTCCAGCCATAGAGGCTGCCCATCAGCAAGCAGACTCCTGCTCCAGCAGGTCAGGGGAGGACAGGCTGGAGGACAAGCAGCCACCCAGCTGAGACCAGGTTACTCTAAGGCCACATCAACCCCAGCCTGCACAAACACAGTGCTCTCCAAAATTCATAACAGGGGCATCACAGCATTCCCCACTCACCTGAAGGCACTGGGATGAACTTGTGTCTCCTCTTCATGCAGCAACATATGGCTGCAGGCAAAGCCACCACCAGGATAAGCACACCCGCTGCACACCCTGCCAGGATGTAAATGAAGCCCGGGTACAGCAGCAGGTCTGCAGGGAGGACACAGCATCGTTAGCTGCCAGGGTGGACAAACTCCTTTCTCCCAGTGGGAGAAACCCTGCAGCCAGGTCAGAGCTTGCTGACATCACTGTTGCTTTAGTTTGGATCAGGGCAGCCGGCACTGTGAGCTGTGTGGCACTTTGTGATTTATGGCATATTGTTTAATTATGGCATGGAATTTTTCACTAGGAGGAGAAGCCTGTGTGCATTCACTTCTGCCTGCTCTGATCACTGCCATCTAAGGTAACCTGTAAGATTTAATCAAATTTAACAGAGAAGGTGGTAATTTGAAAGACATATTTCAACAAGCTGTATGAAAACGGGCAGCTGAGGAGGGAGACCTAAGGAAGCATCTCCTTGTGGCCACAGCTCTCTTCACAGAGAGCAGCAGGCACAACTTCCCAAGGATTTTTCCTGGGAAGGCAGTGAGAAGCACAGAGAGAAAACAATTCTTTATCCACTGCTCCTGTTTTTGCACATGCGGAATGTGTTATGGAGATTGTTTACCCAAAGTGATTTGGTTAATTGGACACCGGTGAAAAGTTGTGATTAGCCAATCACTCAAAGCTGTGTCCTGGCTGTCTCCGACAGTCACAGGTTTTTCAATAGTATAGTATAGTATTCTTTAGTATGGTTATAATATAGTATTAATGTAATATAGTATAGTTTTAATAATAAATAAAGCAATTGTTCAGCCTTCTGAATCACGGAGTCAGAGCACATTATTCCCTGGCTGAGGGATTGCCTGCTTCTACTATACCTCCTGCTGAAGGAAAAGCTGCAGAGTCTACCCAGAGCTGGCACCAGAGAATCTGCTTAGGACAGTCATGTAATGCCTGCACCAACCCCAGAGCAAGTCTCATCAGAGCCTGCACTGCCTCAGGCACCAAGACTGTGGCCACTGGAACTGTAGGGAAAAATCCCTGGTTCACGGAGCCCTTCCCTGGCTCTGCTGCTGCCCGGGGAAGGATTCCACCCTGTTCCCCTGCCCGGCCGGGAGCGCGGAACACGCAGCGGGAGCGAGGGCTGCAGATGGCTGAGCAGAAGGGCAGCACAAGTCACTGGTGATTATTCCCCAGCTCAGAGCCTTGCTCAGGGTCACTGTGACAGGGCAGACCCGCACATTCCCTGCTGCTGAGCAGGCAGCTGGTACAGGGCACGGCAGGCTGGCACAAGAGAGACCTACCCAGGGTTGCTCCTTCACTGAGATAATCTCCTCCAATTTGGGCAGCCTTCAGGAAAACTCTTCTTGCCATATGCAGAAAAACCCCCACACAACTCCACTTCAACATAAATTCCTTAAAACACCTTAGGTAAGCCTGTGCCATCCCTTTCTGAATAATTTAACTGCTTTTCAGCAGCACACATGCCTGCACAGCATAGCAGCAACTAACAGGCTCATTTGGAGCATATTTTCAAGCCCTCAAAAGCACTAATTGCTCCATATCTCCAGAAACTAGGAAGAATTTTAAATGTTCCAGGATATACTACATACCATCATACTCCACCTACTCACCAGGACAGCAAAAAACAACTGCACACAGGTGCTCATGGTATTTTCAGAGTGCTTGTTCCAGTCTTTTTAAAAACAACTACCAAGTTCAAAAAATCCATATTCAAAACTAAAAGCTTTCAGCAATTCAGAGATAATTTCCCTAATTATTTTAGTTGATGAAAGCTGAGAGAGTTTTTTCAAAAGTATAAATACAAGTTGGAAATTTTTCCCCAACTTTTTTTCCTAAAAATTTGCCACTTGTTAATAAGGTCTTTTTGAGGTAAAATACTGTGTTAAAAATAAGCAATGAACAAGTAATTAATCAATAAAAGTCTTTTATAACTGTTGACTTCTTAACTTCTGAATCCTGTGTGTTCAGAGCCCTGTGTTGCCTGGGAAGTTTGCCGCATTTCTGCCAAATTGTTTTTTGGTTATTCAAAATTAATCTCATTTGCCAACAAGTTGCCCACATTTATGTTTTTGCATAGATCATATACCTACAGTGGAAAAACTAAATTCAGCCCTTTGCCTGGAGCAAATAATAACCCACAAAAATAATTAGTTAACTTTCAATTAAATTAAATGAACCCATTTTCCTCCTCAATTCATTTTACTGGTATCCAGAATTGCTTTAATTCACTTTTTACAAATGTGGTTGCATTTGATTACTAAAAAGTGGAATTGCTGCCACCATCTTTCTTTCAGACCCTTCCAAATATGTGTTTATGTGCATGTCCATCCCTAAAGAGATATCACCAAATTCCCTCAAGAGCTTTCCAAGGGGATGGGATAAAGAGATATCACACCCAGGGGACTGGGCAGCCACCCAGGATCAACCATGAAATCTGAGAGCACTTGTGTGATTTCTCACGAGGCTTGACTGAACAGCTCATGGATGTTCACATCCTTGTTCCCCAGTGTCTCTTGGCCAGCTTGGGTCTGACTGCACGGAACAGCCTCCAACCAATTTAATTGGGCAAAATCCAGATCACTGCTCCACAGCCACAAATGCCAAATCTGCACAGACTGGCCAGTGGTGCCAGAGGCAGCAGGCACTGACAGCCCACAGCACCTCTGCTGAATGCCACCACGCTGGACACAGGGTCTGGGTTGGGAGGGGTGCTCTCACACCAACTGCATGCCAGCCACAGAAGAAAGGATAGTATCTGCCAGGGAGCTGGAGTGTCCCAGACAATTTCTAAAATGTTGCAGTACAGTCTCTCTAGTGGCAAAAATTATTACATTAATTACAGAAACATTTGTCAAAAACCTTATGGTTAAATTATGCCTGTAGTTTTGATAACCATCTTTGCTACCAGAGAGTAGAAGGACCTTCACTACTGGAGGTGCAAATTAAATCACACGCAAGGATCCAGATTTTCTGTCTCCTTAAACTTTGGCCTTATTCAAGCAGAATACTCAGCATTTATGAATGGCTTGCAAATGGATAAAGTCCCAGCCTTCTCACAGACTTACGTGTCTGAGCAAGGATATGGAGGGGGAAAAACCCTACATTCCATAAGTAAAATGGCTTGTGTCTTCACTCACTTCTGATGGATTGGGCTGATGGAGAGACATTTGTATAGATAGCCTTCTCACAGACTTACGTGTCTGAGCAAGGAGATGGAGGGGGGAAAACCCTACATTCCATAAGTAAATGGCTTGCATCTTTACCCACTTCTGATGGATGGGACTGGTGGAGAGACATTTGTATAGATAAGAAAATCTTTTGTGCTTCTGGCCTAGATAAGGAGAAAAGAGATGAGGCAAAACACCTCAACTGAGTCCAGCAGCAATAGGGCTGAACTAGTGGAAGTGTTTTTATGGGGATGCACAGAAATTGGAAGGCATCTGGGTCATGGATGCACATCAGAGTAGGAAGAAGCATAGAGGATAGGTTCACAAGAGATTGCAAAACTCCATCACAAAAAAGTAGGAAAAGAGACAGATGGAGATCCATCCTCCTCAACAAACTTATCCCTTCTGTGGTTACAGGCTGTGTCAGTCCAAGGCACGAGAGGGAGAAGGAAATCAAGAGGTCACTTTCTAAAGGCAGGATTTGGTAACTCTGGGAGGGATATGCTAAAGGACAGAAGAATTTGATATTTTGAGGACACCAAAAACCCCTCAGTTGGCTGCTGCAAGAGACCAAAAGGAAGATTTTCTGGAGATGCTGCTACTCACCATAGCTGCACGACAGTGTAATGGGCCTGGTCCTCGTGACACTGTTCCCCTTCAGAATTTCACACACAAACTCCCCAGGCTCCGTTGTGCCCAGGTGAACCTTCTTCCCAGCATCCTTAATGCAAGCCCCCTCGGCTTTCAGGTGGGTGCCATTCAGCAGCCACCTAAAGACCAGGATCTCGTTGCTGGCCACGTTGCAGGACAGCTCTGCAGTTCCATCAGGGAAGCACTGGATGCCAATGGTCGGCTCTGGTCACACACAGCATGGGGCAAGGGGAGCAGAGAGGAAAGAGAGAGGTGAGGAGGGGAATCAGCAGTGAATACCAGCTGAACAGAAGCTTCCCTTTCCAGCAACCCCAGTAATACCACATTTCATGTATCATGGGAGCACAGAAACAAATAATTACACTCTTGGAATGCCTGCACTCTGTCCTAAAATGCTTGGGGTAGTGCCCACACCAACCCTGCCCTCCTCTCCACCAGAGGTTTGTACTTTTGCTGTCACTCTGCCTCTTCTTCCATTTCAGAGAGGAACTGGTGCAAATCATGGCCAACATGGACACAAACACAAGACACTGCAGTTAAATACGATACACAGACCAGGACATTTTAAAATAAATCAGTGAATCATTACTCTTACTACATTTGCCTGAATTTCTCTCTTTCAGTCTACCACAAGGAGCAAACCTATTTCCTACACTTGCCACTTTGCACATACAAACTAGACAAAGAACTGGTATGGTTTTAGGACAGCAGGAGCAACACTCAGAACATGTATCCATGGAAATAAGCTCAGAAATCACTTTCTTGTGCTAGGACATCATCTTCAGTTAAAATTCCCTGCCTCCAGGAACATGTTGGCAGTGAAAGTTTTTCCCTGCCTTAGAGGTGGCAACAGAACAGAAGGAGGAGGCAAATGTTCCCAAAGTAAATCCACTGAAATGGAGGTTAAACCCAGAACTCCCCTGCAGTCTTTGACTCCTTCCAGTCTACACCCCTGTTCTTCACACCAAGGAGTCACATCTTTGACCTACTGTGCAGAGCAGTTCCGCCTGTTTGCACCCAAAAGGTGTAAGGGTTCATTTGTCTTCACTGAGACCAGTTTGCTCAGACATTTTCATTACAGTTTCGTGCGCTCCAATTTATCTTAGAAGCCTGTGTAAGTGAAAGCCCTGCAAAAGGAACGGTGGTGATGAGGACCAGAGCAATGCTCTCTGTCTGCCTGCAGCACTGTTCAGCAGGAGGACAAACCCTCCTAAGCCTTCTGCATATTAACCCAAGCAATGAGCTGGATCCTGTACAGAAGTGACTTTGTTTCTGTCTTTGCTGCCTGCAGATGGACGAGCGGGCACACAAAAGGGAGCAGGAATTCTGAAGCTACAAGGGACAGGAGGGAGACTGGCACAGCCCCCAGGGGCACCTATAGCTCCTGCAAGCTCAAGCAGTTTCTTTGGAAAAATTTCAAGGCATCAGGCTTCCAACAAGTTCAAAAGCTTTTTTCTTGCTAAGAAGGCCACTTACCAAACACTTCCAGTGTAAAATTTTTGGCGGTGTTCTGAAAAACAAATCCGTATTTTCCTTCATCGTCTTTCTCCACGCTCCTCAGCACCAGGGAGCCATTCTCCAAGTTCAGCCATCTACTGGCAGACGTGCCACACTTGGCCAACAAGGTATCATTTAGGACAGTTGTAGAGCATTTCTTATCCTCCTTGCTCATGCTGGAGAAGGTCTGCAGGCTTTGGATTTCCAAAGAAAAGACTGCTGAGTCGCCGCTGAGCGCTCCAGTCCAGATGGCAGTGCCTGAAAGGAGAGCAAGCTTGCCATGTCCATCCATCCCCTCCTGGCTGCCTCCCAGGATGGAAAATGCCCAGGTGGGGCATAAGAGGGACAGACCCAACCTTGGGGACAAGTTGGATCACCGATGATTGAAAATCAGAGGATTCCCATAAGGTTCAACATCCCCCACCTCAACAGCACAGGAATGGTGTGCACACCATGCACAACAGGGAAAACAAAGGCTCAACAGCTGGTATTTTGTCTCCCTGAATTTAAGATGACCATCTACCAGCCCCCATCAGAGATGAGAGACTGTGCAAAGAAAGGTCCTCAGGGCATCAGTGCCATGGACCCTGCACAGAGGGTAGCAGAAACAACAGCTGCAGGTGGACAGCTGCTTTCACCCAAAGAGTAAGGTCACAGTTTTAACTTGAACAGGTCTCTCAGTACCCTTGCACTTTATTAAGTTGTTGTGTGTAAATCAGAGGTGGGTAAATGGCAGGGTGACAGCAGCTTGGGGACTAACCCAAGGTCACACCGAGTGTTGGGAGCTGGACCACATCGCTCTCCAGCCAGCACTCTGTGTACAAGAATGTGTTACATTCCCTGCTGAAAAGCTTCTACAGATGCAGGACACTCCCAAAGTACAATATTGTTAGTTATTGTTACTTTACTCGAAAAATAATCTGTCTTACTTTGGTCTGACTTCCCCTTTCATGCATTAGCAGCTGCGCTATTTGATGTCGCCCCAAACCTGGTAGCATCCTTAAAAGATCTTGGAGCAAAATAAGGGTGTCTGCTCATCTAGGCAAACCTGTGCCAACCCCAATAAAGAAAAATCCTACCTACCTTGAGAAACAGTTATAATCACCAGCAAGCAGAGCAGAGTCAAAGGAGAGCCGAAATCCATTTCAAAGAGCTCCTTGCATCATATGCTGAGGAGACGATCTGGCTACAGAGCTCAGTGAATACAGCGCTCGGGAAATGATGTCAGAAGCAAGAGTGGGGAAGAAAAAAAAAAAAAGAAAAGAAACTCCATAGTGGACAGATTGAATGATGTTTCAAAATAGACCTGCAAGGTTTTGGGTGACTGAACTCGGGCTGAGCCAATGCAAGCCACAACGTGCTCTGCAAAGTCCCGCAGCTCAGAGGTAGCTGTGAGCGTGAGAATAGGGCTGGGAGGTGAGGGGAGACAAAAATATCTCCTGGTCAGCTCACCCCATTTAGGAAGAGGCCAATGCCAAGAGCAGGCAAAGGAGAAACACCTACTTCTTTCCTAGTTTATCAAAGTACAGTATCCCCACTAAGGGAGGATAAATTAGTCCAGTCAGATAAAGCACTGCACATGAAAACCAGCTGATTTTCTGAAATACTAAAAATGATCACTCCTTGACATCTCACCAGCAGGAAGGAGGTGTGGGACAAGGCTCTCCCTCTGTTCCCAAAGGCTGTGTTGCCAAAGTGAACTGTGCCAGGCTCTTTTGGTGACTGAGTGGTACCTGCTGTGCAGGAAAATCTCCATACAGCCACCCCGGGCAAAGAGTAAAGCTTATGGAAACTTAAGTTGCACTGCAAAACTAAACTGAATGCAGCCCAGAAACCACCCCAGCTCTGTTTGGAGTGCAAATCTCAGAGATGAGACTGAAAAGCCAGTCCTGAAGAAACAGTGTGAACCTGGAGAGCCAGGTAGGGCCAGATACCTGGCACTTTTTGAGATGGCTTAAAGCACACTGGGCATAGCACCCAGTGCCACGATGGGTTACACAAACAACACAGGAACAGCAGGAACTGTCTCACTCACTGGAGGAAGTACACTGGTATAGCATCAGAGCCAACATCTGGATGCTTTCAGATGCTTACCAGATGTGCTGGGGAATAAGTACAACAGCTGGGTTCAGGATGCAGCTGGGAACCTTATATTTTTGTTTCTCTGGACACAGATAGACACAGCCCCCTAAGGAAGCTCCCTGCAGTGGATGCATGTGTACACACACATTTCTGAGAAGTGGGTAAAACCCTTGCATCGTGGTCTGCACTATTTTTCAAACAATCTGGCCATGCTTGAAAAATTCCACATTTCAGCTGCTGGTTTGGCCACTCTGACTTCTTATCCATGACAACTGCACCTCACCTCCTGCTCCCAGTGACCCAAACTTACAAATTTGGTTCAAGGCTATCACAGCAATATTCTCTCTTTATCATATGTGCATAGGACAGGCCTAAATTGATCTAAGATGAGACAGAAATAGACTTCTCTGAGAAAAGCAGTGAAGTGAGTCTTCAGACACTCGCAGCAGTGCAGAGGAAGGGAGAGAGAAAAAAGTATTTACAGTAAGAAACACTTTCATTTCCTTCTGTGCTGCTGAAATAACATGAAGAAAATCTCTCAAATACCACTGCAAGACTGGGGCTAACCATCTGCCTCAGATGTGCACATTTAACTGCATTCCACCTTCATGCTTGAAGGGCAAGCTGGTAGAGCTTAGGGTTGCAGTGCTGTGGTGGAGACTCGAGACAGAACAGACAGCACGTGCAGGGTTACCTCTGAACAGCACCCCGAAATCTCAGCAAAACAAGATGCAAAAGGAGTCTGCATAAAGACTAATCCAGCAAAAGTTCACCTTTTCTTCCAGCCAATGAGAGCAGAGCCCATTTGCAGTAAAACCCAAGAAAAATATGGCCTTTCTGCTGCTCTGTTGTCACAGAAGTGACTCTGCAGGACTGTGACATTGCAGTGTCCTGCATTTTGTCTCCCTCTCAGTGACTCCAGGGCAAATGAGTACATTTATGAGCTCAATATTCCTGACTGCAAGTGCCCCATACATCACACAGTATATGAAGTCCCATTAGGCTTCTTCTGTACCTCACACCCTCACCAGCTAAAAAAAAAAAAAAACCCAAAAGGAATACAGCTGGGATACAGCAGACAGCACACACACAATCTGTTGTCATCAATCAGCAGCCCCTTTTAAGAGCAACACTCTCAAATTTCACATATAATGAAACTGTTACATGAGATCTGGCATTAATTTCTAGCATTGGCTAATGAGTGCTCTCGCAGCACCCTTGGCTAGGCAGAGAATTCAGTTCCCCTTTTTATATAAAGACACAGAGTTTTGTGTGATTACTGCAGACAAAAACCACCTTGTAAGGCTTAACAGAAATCACAAGTAGAAAAAGGGGGGAGGGAAGGTGGACCAAATAAAAAAACCCAAGAATTCGTAGTTAGAAGGTGAACTAAAACCTTTTCCGCTCGACCTTTTTTACTTGGTGAGCTGCATTCAGTTCCCCTTTTTATATAAAGACACAGAGTTTTGTGTGATTACTGCAGACAAAAACCACCTTGTAAGGCTTAACAGAAATCACAAGTAGAAAAAGGGGGAAGGGAAGGTGGACCAAATAAAAAACCCAAGAATTCGTAGTTAGAAGATGAACTAAAACCTTTTCCACTTGAGCTTTTTTACTTGGTGAGCTGCAAGCTCACAGGGTCATTTTGCCCCTTCACACTGAAGGCTTCATGAAAGGGGAATGGAGATTCATTCCATAGATGGCAAAAGGCCCTGATGGAGCATGGGAGATGGGAAAACCTGAGCTAGCAAGTAAAGCAGGAAATAACCCGTGAAATATTATGGAGAAATCTGTACATATCAACTCTGCTCATCCCCCTTTGCACAGGCTGGTAAGCATAGGCAGCACACCTATTTTTACTGTCATTAATGTGTGTCAGTGCTCACTGGGGAAACACACCAGATTCACTCAGAGGTAGCCAGCAGAGCTAAATGCAGAAACTCAACACATGCAAACAGAAAACAGGCCTGCAGCTCCAGCAATGCACAGCTGCAGTGCCCTTCTGTCCATCCATCCGAGGCAGGAATGGGGCACACCCCTGAGAAATGCTTCTGTGTGGGGCAGCAGGACCCCAGAGACTGATGAACGTCCACATGAACTCTTCCTTTGTTACATTAAACTAGCCAGAGAGCTATGCTTATCTTCAAGACTTTTCTTGACCGTGGCAATAGAAATAGCAAGCAAAAATAAAAGCAAATGCTAATGTCAGAGCCTCAGCAGCAGATGGTATCTCCATGACAGGGACATTTAAAGAAACCCACAAATTAAGAAAAGGGACGTTGCAGAAACGTGCTGAGATCAGAAAGGCTCCAGACCTAATTACAGACAAGGTACATGTGGTTTTCTCCATCCTGTAGTACCTCTGGGGAACGCACAGTCCAGCACTCGCAAGAGTCAGGGCCAATAGGAATGCACACTCTTCTTCAGAGCACCCATGGACACTTTCATCCTTCTCTTGCTAAGAGATGGAAGGAATGCCCAGTATCCTACAAACACACACAGCTCCTCTGACATGGCTCTCCCAGCCTGCCCCACGATGACAAGTCAAAAAGAAGAGCCCATAAATGGAAAAAGTGCTAGAAATTACACGATTTATATTTAGCTGCGTGCAGGGTGAAATGCTTTGCATTTGCTCGAAAAAAGAAAGGAAAAAACCAAACCAAATGGTTGATTATTGCAGAGCTATTCAGACATATGGGTTCAATCCTGTCACTACATGAGCAACACTTAACTGCAGGAGCACGTTCCTCTTCCTCCTTGCTTTTTGCCTCATTTTGAGGGGAAAGCAGACTTTGCTAAACCCCAGCTTGGAAGATGAACTTGGGAAATTTCACTAATGTTGCCACCTTGAAACTAATAATATAAGCATTATTTACAGAGACAAAGAGATTTCACAGGTTAAAATTTTCTGCAGGATTCACTGAAGAGTCTAAGCACTTCACCTGAAGTGGTTAGGAGAAGGTTAATGCCAGGCTCATTTTAAAAAAATCTTCAAATACAGTGCAGAATGGGGACAAAAGCCACCAGAACAACTTTACAACCACGAGATTGCAGGTGGTTGTGATAGGGAATCCCTATCTGTCACACTCTAGCACATGAATAATCTAAAGTGACAGTCAGAAGACTCGAAAAAGCAGCAAAAAACACACTTTGTGCTTTTTCCTGAAGCTTTGCCA